TTTTACGAATAAGCTCGATCAACAACTGAGGGTTTTTTGTACAAAGCATCTTAGGGAAACATTCAAGTTACCTGCTTGAAGTGGAATTTCCTACCTAAGGCATCGCAGGTAAGAGTTTTGCCGTACACGCTCTTGTCAAACAGACTGTATACATCGTTTTCATAATAATTCGAGGAAACTTGCTACACTTTCGGAGCTACTGTCGATAGGCGAAATTAAAAATTCACACTCGCGTATTGTTCGCTTGATTCAGGCAGATTGTTTTGCAAAGGAAATACATAGTTTAAAGGGCAGTAAAGTTCTTAAGACAGGCAAACTAGTCAATTTAAATCCCTTTTTAGACGACGAGGATATTCTTAGGGTTGGGGGAAAGCTCAAACACGCGCCACTCAGGTATACCCAAAAACACCCGATTCTATTGCCGCACCGACATAAGGTCACTGAAATGATCATTAGACAGGAACATTTACGACATTTCCACGCAGAGGCACAAGCCACACTTTACGCGGTGAGGCAAAACTGTTGGCCAATTGACGGCAAGGGAATCACAAAACAAATAGTTTAAAATTGTGTTCGCTGTCGTAAATTAAATCCCAAAATACCACGCTACACGATGGGAGATCTTCCAGCAAACAGATTTAAAGCTACGCGAGCATTTGATATCGTAGGTATCGATTATTGTGGGCCCTTTCTGATAAAGGAAAAGAAATTTCGAAGCAAAAACAAATTGAAAAGCTACGTGGCGGTCTTTGTCTGTTTCGCGACAAAGGCAACTCATTTGGAATTAGCCACAGATTTGACTACCGAATCATGTCTAGGGGTTCTGAAACGATTTTTTGGAAGAAGGGGAAAACCACAACAAATACATTCGGACAACGCTACTAATTTTGTTGGCGTCAAGAACGAAATAGCAGAAACTCGCGCATTTTTACTATCTCAGAAATATAAAGAGGATATGCAACACTTCCTTACAAAACAAAACATTGAATGGCACTTCTCTCCACCCCGCTCTCCACATTTCGGTGGTTTATAGGAGGCTGGGGTGAAGTCCTTCAAGAAACAGCTATACAGATCTGTCGGTGATGAAACATTTACATACGAAAAATTTTATACTTTAATAGTTGAGATCGAAGCCATTCTTAATTCCCGCCCCTTAATTCCTCTTTCCTCGGACCCCAATGACTTTCTAGCCTTGTCACCCGCTCATTTCCTAATAGGTGACTCGTTGACTAGTCTACCGGAGCATAATTTTGCTGATATACCCAGTAATAGATTGTCATTGTGGCAAAATATCCAAAGGATACGACATCATTTTTGGAAACGATGGCAAGGTGAATACTTACATGAGCTACATACTCGAAGTAAGTGGCATACTGGGGATGATACGCTCATCAAGGAAGGTACGTTGGTGACAATTCGTGAGGATAACTGTGCACCTCTACATTGGAAACTCGGCCGTGTTGTGAAAACCCACCCTGGAGAAGATGGAATCGTGCGAGTTGCCACGATAAAAACACAACACGGCGTGTACGCGAAGGCTAATAATTATTCATATTGAATCTGTATAACTAGATACATATTTTAGATCTGAATATTAATTCGTGGCTATTTTTAATGTAATTTAGTACAATAAAAACGAAATAAACAAATAAATACATAATTACACCAAAATAAAAATGAAAATAAAAATAGAACTATTAAATAAATACATAAATAAATAAATAAATACCTAAACATAATCAAAATAGACATAACAGAAATAAATAGATAAGTACATAAATAATAACATACATATTTGAATATAGTAGAATGCATAGATATCAACATAGCCAGGCTTGGGATATCATTACACTGTCCTTCGCCATTATAAATCATAAATAACATAAATAATAAACATAAGTGGTATAAATAAATAAATGAATAGGTAAGATAGTATACAATAAATTAAATAACAAAAAGTAAATAATAAGTAAATAAATAAATAAAATAGAATACAGCAACTTAAGTAACGAAAATAAATAATAGATAAATAGGTAAATAAAATAGAATACACT